GTGTGTTTTCAGGTCTCCTGACTGACTGAATCTCTTGTCGCAGTGTGAACACTTGTAAGGTTTCTCTCCAATGTGAATCCTCTTGTGTGTTTTCAGGTCTCCTGACTGACTGAATCTCTTGTCACAGTGTGAACACTTGTAAGGTTTCTCTCCAGTGTGGATCCTCTCGTGCCGTTTCAATTTATCAGCTGTAATAAAAGTCTTCTCACACTCAAAGCACATGTGATCTCTCACACCAGTGTGTATCTTCTGATGAACTTTTAAACTCTGCGGCAGTGAAAAACTCTTTCCACAGAAAGAACATAAATGTGGTTTCTCCTTCGTATGAACTTTCAGGTGATTCTTCAGGTCTGAAGCCCATGAAAATGTTTTTCCACATTGGTCACATTCGTGCAGTTTCTCTCCAGTGTGGATGTTCATGTGTTTCTTAAGGGTTGATGACTGTGTGAAACTCTTCTCACACTGATTACACGTAAATGGTTTCTCTCCAGTGTGGATCCTCGTGTGGTTCTTAAGGTGTGATGATCGTCTGAAACTCTTCTCACACTGATCACATGTGAATGGTTTCTCTCCAGTGTGGATCCTCATGTGTCTCTCGAGATTGTGTTTGTTTGTGAAACTCTTTCCACACTGAGTGCAGGTGAACCTTTTCTTGTCTCTTCTTTTCAGTAAAGAAATACTTTCAGTCTGTGAGTGAGTTTTTCCTCTAGTTTTGACATGATGTTTTTTCTTCTCCATTAGACCTGAAGTTTAAAAAGGTTACAATATAATTAAATCATTAAAACATCTGACAAATGTGAAGTGAAAGTGGACAACAGCTACACCAAAGTATAATCATTTTATTACATTTTTACAAAATAAGATACAAAAATCTATATTTAAAAAATACAGACACTAATCCAATGATTCTGTAGTGAGAAATAATAAATAATAACTATTTTACACTAATTAACTTACCAATATTTTTCACTCAACACCGTTACAGCACAATTTTCATTCAATTTATTCCTTTTTTTTTTTTTAACTAAAGCATTTTTTAATGGCAACACCCAGGAAGTGACCTCATTTCAACATTTGAGTTTCAGTCCTTATTTTGTACCCTGAAAATTGAAACTCTCCCCTATATTATTTATTTGACTTTTTTTCTTCCATTTTTAAAACTCAAAGTATTTTTCTACTGTAAAAACACTAAATCTGATGAACTGCTGATAACTTTAAATGTTCTTCAAACTCATCACAAAAGCTTCAAGAATAAACACCAACCTGTTTGTTCTTCAGTGTGTTTCATTCTGCAGGGTTCTGGATCTCTCATGTTCTCTCTGTCCTTCAATAAACTCTGTCTCTGCAGATTTCACTTCTTCCTGATGCTTTGATGCTCGTCTTCACTTGTAGACTGATGGGAATATTCCAGCATTTATTGATGAACTGCAGTGGGAGGAGCTTCACTGAAGGAGTGGTTGTTGTGGGAGGAGCTTCACTGAAGGAGTGATTGTTGTGGGAGGAGCTTCACTGAAGGAGTGATTGTTGTGGGAGGAGCTTCACTGAAGGAGTGATTGTTGTGGGAGGAGCTTCACTGAAGGAGTGATTGTTGTGGGAGGAGCTTCACTGAAGGAGTGATTGTTGTGGGAGGAGCTTCACTGAAGGAGTGATTGTTGTGGGAGGAGCTTCACTGAAGGAGTGATTGTTGTGGGAGGAGCTTCACTGAAGGTGTGATTGTTGTGGGAGGAGCTTC